ATACAGTAATGTGTTATTTATGTTACAAGAGTGTGTATTTTAGATTCAAAAGCATTAAAATAAGAGAAAAGGAAGTGATATTACGAACACTTGAGATGATTTTATAGCTAAACTTCTAAACATTTCTTCATGTTTCTTGCAATCTTTCTTGTAGGTTTAATGGGACCATTCAATATTTAGTATAGACAATTTACATATCCCATTGTACATAAACCTGCAAAATGTTTTAGAGGCATTAAGAAGGAAGTCTATGTTAAACATTTTGGTTATACAATTATGGACAATCTAAGTAATTTAATTATTTTAACACACATTTACTTATATGCAAATATATTAACTAATGTGTCATCAAACATTTACTTATAGAGATTTCTTAACAACATGAGTAGTCTAAGTAACTTTACTCTCCCGAACCAACTCAATCATTTTTGCACCTGAAATGTTAGATCGTTCATAGTAAAATGGGATACCAGTTCGTGATTTGATTTCTCAGGTTTTGTCACTTATACTTTGAAAGTTCAGTTCCACCGATTGGAATAGTATAACTAGACATAGGCTTATTGTTGAGATTTCCGTTAAAACCACTTTTGTTATCACTTTAAATTACTATTGTTTTGTCAACGGTCTCAAACACGGCAAGGATACCGGCCGTTCAAGTAGTAAAATTATCGTATCCACAGGAATTAGAAGGTAACATAAGCATTTATTAACTATTCGTGACTAAAGAATGATTCCAAATTCATAGTTTGTCATGCAAGTTGAATCAAAAGTTATGACTATTGGAATGAAAGCTATAAAAATATTTGTTTGTGAGTGGACAAGAGTAGAAATGGTATTATGGTTTTTGTGAGATTGTGGGGTCAAATTTCACCAAACGTTAAACTAATGAATCCTTAATCACTTGTTACATGCATTGCTTAGTCAACCCATAAGTTTACTCAAACCTAATCCCTTAGAGCAAGAGCCTAGGTGCGGACATTGAATATCAATCCCTTGAGTACTCAATATCTATACCCGCATTACAGATTAGGGTTTAAGACTACTAATGGGTCAAACTCTATCCCTAGATACAATCTCCACTAGGCATATGTTTCGGAACTAGTTTCAATGGTATTTCCCAATACTCAATGGAACCTTAAATCATGCAAAAGAGGATCAATCCAAAGCAAGCATTAAGCATAGAAACATACACAACAAAGAATGAAACAACATGCATATATCATTAAAATGTAAGGATTACATTAGAATTCGTTAGTTACATCTAACCCCACAAAAAATGGGTGAAACCACTCAAAACAATAAGGGTAAATACAAAATAGAGATGAAGGAAGAAATGAAGAACCGAAGGAAAGACCCACACACGAACGGCTCCAAGCTCCGGGAATCCCTTCCACAGCTCCTAAAACGCGCCCAATGTGTGAATGAGGAGAAAACCCTCGAAAATGGCTTCAAATACGAGCTTGGGGAGTCAGATTAGGGTTTACGCGCCCGGCGCATAAGTCTTTGCGCCCGGCGCATGGTCTTCCAAATACTCTCTGCCTTAGAACACGCCCGGCGCAATTCATTTTGCGCTCGGCGCAATGGCTTCCAGAGGTGAGATACTCTGTTTCGCTCAAGCCCAGCGTGGGTCATCTTGCGCCCGGGGCAGCCACTCTGCTCTACTCCTTAGCTTCTTATATTTCCAATCCTAAGAATCTTCATTAATCCTCAATTCTCTAGCTCAATACCTGCACAAAAAATGAGGTGTATTAAGGTATTGTTAGCTAAATTTGGGTTAGTTATATGTGCATACAAAATGAACCAAAAAGAGAACAATTATATTGCAATGGTTCAGAGGATGAGTGGAATTGTTCAATAAGTCTCATCCAAAAAGAAGTAAAATTGAGACTTAACACTTATCACGACCTTGACATGAATTATCTAGTCACATATGAAATTCTCCTATTGATTATCCAAAAAGGAACTATACAACCTTTCTAGGTACTTGGTTAAGGGTTGTAGCCCTCAACCTCCTACTTTACTCAATCATTAATTAAAGACATGTCAAAACCTATTCTAAGAGACACACTTACTCAATCAGAATTTTCTAATAGTGACCTACCCAAACACCACTTCTAGATTTCCTATGTGGAATCTTTAGTTTTCAAAAACAATTTTCTCTCCTCAAGTCTTAAGTTAGCCAACATGCCTTGATGTCATATGACATTCTTACCATCCACACATCATCAAACATCATCTATGTGCAACACATCCGGTCAACACATATAAAGATCAACAACATCATACATATATACAACATACATATGCTCATTGTCATCCCACACCATACAAATATCTACATATGTCATATGCAATCAACATATATGAACAATTATCGTACACTATACAACATATAATAAAACTCAAAACATCTGTTCATGTTCATCATACAACACCACCAAAACATCTTTATCATCCTATCACCTTGCTCCCAATGTCATAGAGGTAGGAAACTTTCTACCTTGCTCACGCTCGACACCATCCAAATTGTGTTTGCCGTGACTGAGGTGCAGACCCCCCTAGGACCTCATGCCTAACATAAAAAACCCACGCTCGACCTCATATTAGGCAAAAAGTCTTTATCTGACTCATGTCCGACGTCACCTCAACATTTTAAAGAATCTAAGAAACTTTTTCACGCCTCTAGGAAAACTAGAAGAAGGAAGAAGAAGTCAGAAATCTCCAGATCCTATATCTCTTGTTCATTTCTCTATAATCCTAAAGAATGAAATTACGAAACTCAATTCCAAAAAAAAATGTTTTTACCTTTCCTCCTCAAGATCAACTAGACCATTTACCAAAGACCTTCTACTCTTAGAGTCATTTCACAACCCTTAAGTACCTGAAAACCAATTGGTCAACTTATAATATCACACACATCAACACCCTTGTGAAAAAAAAAAGCATATTTATTTTCCCCGCTAGAATGACACCTACCTAACAAGTTAACATTATTATTGCCTTTTGAATGGATAATAATCCTTTATATATATTTTTTATTGATCAAACAATCAGTGTGGGATCTTGATGAATTCTAACTAAATTATTCAACTAGTAGCATCGCTTTTGTGAAAGAGGCAAGTGTGAGTTGGAATGGTGTATTTACAAAAATATCACATAAAATATAAAGACTTGAAGCGGAATTTATATATAATTAACAGTTGTTGGATTTTTTATTGCTCTTTTAATTGTGCATTTAAGTAATAAAGCAAATGCTAGGAACATTTATAAGGGTATATTAATTAAGAAATAGAAATATTTTTTTATTACAAATATTATTAATGTACTATAATCATGCCTTTCGGTATATTTTTATACCATAATTTTGAATATTTTATTATTATTGATTTCTTAATTGTTGTTTTAGCATGTAGGTCGATCTATATTTATCACACATTTGAATTTTTTACATAGTCATATAATTAATAATTCATAATCATTAAATAAAAATTGAATGACTCTTAATTTATCTTTTTTTGAAGGGACTCTTAATTTATGTTTAATAAATCAAAATAATAATACATATTTAAAATTAGAGTCATCCAATTTTCTTCTATCAGTTCCAATTCACTAATTGTGTGAATGTTTGTATACAGAAATTCAATTCATTTGTAACCCATGTATTTAGTTGGTAAATCTAGCTCAAATTGCTCAAATTTAAAAAAACTATGGAAGTCATATAATATTTAACCTTTTCCTTTTCCATAATCAAAATGCTGCAATTAAACTGTATATAAAAAAATATGTTTATGAAACTTAATAGCCAATTTTTTTTTTTGCATAATCTAGTTGTAGAAAATTATCGTTTCCTATATAACTATTCGACGTAACAAGCTTTGCTCCGTAGATGGAAGGTGTTAGGTGATCAAAACGAAACATTAATAAGACTTTTAGTTCTACATTATTTTCATTCGTCAACATATAATAATGGGAGCAACTCATTTTTCTTCAATAATTATCCTTTTTAAACTACTACTCCACTAAATGAACTTTATATCATCACTTGTTATGATATTTGTGTGATGGTAGGATATGAAAAAAAATACCCTATTGTTGTGAATTGCATGTAGCTAAGTATATGGTGGCAGTACTAATTCACGTGGAGGGCTTATAAGATATTTTATTTGAAATTAATTACATTCGATCAAATTGGAAACATGATTTTGACGAGAGAATAATAGATTCATTTAAATTGAATTCGGATTTGGGATTAAATTTTCTTTCTCAATATATAGTATATTGTATAGAAATGATAAGAATCTTAAACAAAAATGTTTTCGATGTCACAACTTTCTAAATAGTTAGAATTTCACGAAATCTTCCAATGGAGACAGTTTGCCACGACTTGACGTATTTCGGTTACAAAAAGAAGTATTTATTTCTTTTTATATTTGATTTTTATTTAAAAATAATTAAGTCCATTTAAATCAAGAATAATAGTTATTTATTTTCACACACATATATATATATGAATATTTTTTTAAGCTTTTACTATATTTACATTATTTCTATATCTTAATCATTTTTATTAAAACTAAACATTTAAAATAGATTGAAATTGGGAGGAATATGGAAATGGTTAAGAAAGGAAGACATTGGAAGAATTGTTGAGAGTTGTAATTAAAAAAAGAAGAGAAGAAATAAATTAAGGAAGTAAATGAGGTATTTAATAAGAATTGATTGAGTTAAAAATGTAGTAGAAGAAGAAAAAGAATAGTTGAATTATGGTAATGAAATTGATTAGAAGAAAGAGAGAAGGCATGGATAGAATGGGTAAAAAATAATGAGGTGGCGGCGGCATTGAAAAGGGTGGTAGAGTTGGCAATGGCAATGTAGATATTAGAGCGCAGAGAGGAGGGCAGTCAAAGGAAGTGAGTAGTGAGTCAAGAGTCGTCCTCACTCATAATTAAATAAAATAATAAATTTCCTAAATAAAAATAATAAAAAAAAAAAAAATGAAGGAAGACGAAGTCTCTGGGAAACAAGTTTGATGTTTGACCATCTCTCAAGTCTCATCCCCTTTCCACCCTTCATCATCATCCTCCATCCCCAATTGCAAAACCCTTCTCATAAATCAATCACCCATCCCTTTCCCTTTCATTTTCATTTTCATTTTCATTTTCATTTTAAGCCTCAGATCTAGGGATGGGAAACTGCTGCGCCACGCCCGCCACCGACGAGACCAAGAACAGGAAGAAGGGGAAGAAGGAGAACCCCTTCGCCATCGACTACGGCCTCGCCAACAACGCCGCCTCCAACGGGGCCAAGCTCACCGTCCTCAACTCTCCCACGGGCCGGGAGATCGGGGCCCGCTACGAGCTGGGCCGCGAGCTGGGCCGGGGGGAGTTCGGCGTCACCTACCTCTGCACGGACAAGGAGAGCGGGGAGGAGCTGGCCTGCAAGTCCATTTCCAAGAAGAAGCTGAGGACGGCGATCGACATCGAGGACGTCAGGAGGGAGGTGGAGATCATGCGCCACTTGCCGCACCACCCCAACATCGTCACGCTCAGGGATACTTACGAGGACGACAATGCCGTTCATCTTGTTATGGAGCTTTGCGAGGGCGGAGAGCTCTTCGATCGCATCGTCGCCCGCGGCCACTACACCGAACGCGCCGCCGCCGTCGTCACCCGGACCATTGTTCAAGTCGTTCAGGTTCCCCACTTCACTTTGTTTCATCTTTTACTTCAATTCTTCTTTTATCATAACAAAACTCTTTCTTATGTTGCCAAGGATTTTTTTATGGATTTCCTAAAATTGGGGTTCAGGAGTAACATGGTTCTTGTTCTTGTGTTTCAGATGTGCCACAAGCATGGTGTGATGCATCGGGATCTCAAGCCGGAGAACTTTCTGTTCGCGAATAAGAAGGAAACCGCGGCTTTGAAGGCTATAGATTTTGGCTTGTCTGTCTTCTTTAAACCAGGTAATGCTTTTATTTTAGTGGGTGGTCGACTTGCTCAACATATTTTCGATCTAGTGCTGCGTAGCTTGATTTAGGGTTGACTCTAAGTTTGCCATTTTCTCCAGGGGAAAGATTTAATGAGATAGTTGGAAGTCCATATTACATGGCTCCAGAGGTATTGAAGCGGAATTATGGGCCAGAAGTGGATATCTGGAGTGCTGGAGTAATTCTATACATCTTACTCTGTGGTGTTCCACCATTCTGGGCAGGTTAGTTTTGTCTTAGGATCATGTTTCAAAGTTTTTAAACGCTCCACTTTTAAGTCATTCTGGAGTTCATGCAACCAATGTGCTATAATATGTTAATACTTTGGGTAAAATATGTTTTTGGTCCCTCTAAAATTTCTCAAGTTCGGTTTGAGTCTCTCAAAAATATGCAACCAATGTACTATAATATGTTCTGTAAACTAAAGATGTTTCATTCTTATGTATGGTCTCATTATTGTGTTTCATAATTTTTTTACTCCCAATTTCAATTTTTATGTTCGGCATTAGAAGAGGGAAGATTTAATAAGTTTAATTGTTAATTCTTCCCCTTCACTTTAATGCTACTTCTATTTCATTCTCATTTGTTACATTTTGTATCTGATTAGTTTAATTTTCTAAATTTTGCTTCTCTTCCCCTTTTGTAAAATGAAGAAACTGAGCAAGGAGTTGCACAAGCAATCATACGGTCTGTTGTTGATTTCAAAAGGGATCCATGGCCAAAAGTTTCTGATAATGCTAAAGACCTTGTGAAGAAGATGCTAGATCCCGACCCAAGGCGGCGGCTTACTGCACAGGAAGTGTTAGGTAACATGCAGTTCATACAAAATATTTTGAGAGATGAAGAGGAGTATTGATTGTGCATAACATTTTTTGCTTAGCATATTCTTGTTTTCCTTTTGAATTTTGCCAAATTAAAGTATGAGGATCGTAACATTACTTGTTCGCCAAATGCAGATCATCCATGGTTACAAAATGCAAAGAAAGCTCCTAATGTTTCCTTGGGAGAAACTGTTAGAGCAAGGCTCAAGCAATTTTCTGTGATGAACAAGCTTAAGAAAAGAGCTTTGAGGGTAATGTTCTCAACAATATATGAATACCACTTGGGCAATCATACCTGAAATGTAATCCATATAACCATTCTAATTCACGAGTTACTCATTTTTTTCTTTATGGTTTGTATCGCATGTGAACAGGTGATTGCAGAGCATTTGACAGTGGAAGAAGCTGCCGGGCTAAAAGAGGGATTCCAGCTTATGGATACAAGCAACAGAGGCAAGATTAACATTGATGAACTACGGGCAGGGTTGCATAAATTAGGCCATCAAGTTCCTGATGCAGATCTCCAAATTCTTATGGAAGCTGTGAGTATTACTATCACCTGCTATCTGGAACCTTTTCTCCTCAACTGATATTTGAAAAATAAGTACCTTCATAAAAAATTGAGCTCTTTTAATTTTCTTTTTTCCTTAAAAGAAATTTCATAATTAAAAGTTCTACATGGTTGGTTGTGTAATTTCTGTTAAATGATTGTATGACAATACATGTCTTCGTAAGGATGTGTATTTAACTACTAACTTTTGGGAGCTTCTTTTACAGGGTGATGTAGACAGGGATGGGCACCTAGATTATGGAGAGTTTGTAGCCATTTCTGTTCATCTGAGAAAGATGGGAAATGATGATCATCTTCGCAAAGCCTTCCAATTTTTTGATAAGAACCAAAGTGGGTATATTGAGATTGAGGAACTGCGTGATGCCTTATGTGATGAGGTTGAAACAAACAGTGAAGAAGTTATCAATGCAATTATGCATGATGTGGACACAGACAAGGTCAGTCCATTTTCACATTTGTAGATCAATTTATTTATTTGTGGTTATACATATAAAAGTAGATATTTGCCCTCCTGTTATTACTCAATATTCTTAATTTTCTTTTCATTCTTCTGTATTATGTTTTTTGTGCTGAGAATGATAACTTCAAAAACCTGTGCTACGGCTTATTATAGTAATTTAATTTCTGTATTCTTTAACTCCTGGTTTTTTGTCCCTATACGGTGCCGGTGGTGGTGCTGCTGCATAGTAATCTTAGTGTGTTTTACATAATTTATTTGGAACTCCCCTTTGATATTGTCTTCATGAAATGATTGCAGGATGGAATGATAAGTTACGAGGAATTTGCTACGATGATGAAGGCCGGCACAGATTGGAGAAAGGCATCAAGGCAGTACTCGCGAGAGAGGTTTGCAAGCCTCAGCCTGACGTTGATGAGGGACGGGTCATTGCATGTAAACAGTGAAAACAATGACGCTAGATGACTACTTTAGAAATGCCAATTTTTACTTTGAAAAGGAAAATATGATAAAAAAAAGTCTTTTATTTTTTATTTAATTTTAACTTCATTGTAATTCTTTTCTCTAATTCCCCATTTTCGGGTGAAAAAGAAAAAATAGGATATTGGCCCCAGCAGTGTTGTATGTGATTTGAAGTTTGTCTTTTTCTTTTGGTTTGTTGAGGTTGTGGTAGGAGACAGGAGAAGAGGTGAGGGGGGACTGGACATTGGACAAGTTTTCATTTGTGGCTGTAAATATTTTTAATTATCATGCTTTATATGTAAACTGCCATTTTTACGCAAACCGTGCTCCATTTAAAATCTTGTATAAACAAGATAAAAATTAAAATCAAGAAAATCAACTTTATCAATATACTAGGGATATTTTGGTGGGAAAATATAGCTAATTGGAAAAATTATGAAGCGACCTTGAATAAGCGTAATAGTAGAACTCATTTTGAGTTCTTGATGTGTTTTTTTTTTATGGGTTTCTCCATGATAGTAGGATTCAAGATTTTTTTAATATTGTTTCATTGAAAAAACTTGGGTTTTTAATTAGAATAGATTCATTTTTTTAAGAGTTTATGCAAAGAACGGTTTTTTCGCTGTGTATTATAAGCTAGATTGATCAAATGGCAAAATTTTCGGGAACCAATTCTTACATTTAAGAATCCAGTTAACGTCTTTTATTGAAGATGGCTTAAACTTTCTATCGATGAGCTGAATACGTCATTATCAACTGAGTAAACAATTATTCGTTCACTTATTTTACCATTCGGTGCGGTTTCATTGCCCATTATTCAAAATATAGTTGTAGAAACAAGTTTTTCTTGAGTGAGAGAACCACTAAACCATCATGAATTTGAAAAATCACTGTTATGAACATCGTAACTGCCACATTGAGGCTGAATGATCATGAAAAGTATTGGTGAGAAAATTCATAATGGTAGAACTTACTGTAACAAACAAAATGAACCAATGCTTGTAAAGATGCACATTTAGGTCTGAGCATGCCAACCGGTTGAGCAATTTAATACAAAACTGTTGAATTTAGTGAGATTTTACATTAAATTAAATGGGTATATGAAGAAAGGCATTTGGATCTTATATTCGAGTTAGAGAGAAAAGAGAGACACAAAGGAATGAATAAACCCTACACAAATCATGGTCAATCTTACTATAATTAGTCACCAAAATGAGAGTCCTACTTTTCTAAAATCAAGTGTTTTTCTTCTCGAGTTGGGTTTAAATGAAGGTTAATTTATGATAAATTTGAATACACTATCAAAATGTTTTGGAATTCTAAGGTGAGTTTCAGATATTATGTCTATTTTGTAAAGAGGAGGAACAAACATTTACAATGAGATGGTTTAAAGTGCAGGGGCCGGCCTGTTTCAATCAAAACGATTACAATGAGCCTTATTTATATCACCTGCACTCTAATGTATATGTTTTTTTTTTAAAGCTTTTACTTTGTTGGTTTCGCCAAATGGATCAGTTTATATAAAACACAAAATGAACAAAAAGGAGCGCAAATAGGTTAAAATTGTCATTTCAAACTTACAGAATAAACACTCCATTTACAATTTAATTCTTATTTTCAAACTCAATGCGTTGAATTTAAGATCTTTTTATTATTGAGTTGGAAATTGAAAAAAAAAAAAAACTCACTTTTATGGTGAAAATCTTTTACTATCTATTCTCCCTCTCCATGCGTCACGTAATTTTTTCTATATTTTTTATTTGGAAGAATTGAAATGAAGACAATAAAGTTTGAATATAATATTTTCTATATAATATTTCAACTTTCACATTAGAAAATTATAAATAATTTTTTATTATCTATTCAATATATTAAATATTAATAACTTTCTCGAATTAGAATATTTTTAAGTATTTTTTTTCAACAAAAGTATTTTTAGCTATTTTTTTATAGAGTGTTTTTCCAAAATTTTTTAAAAACTCTTATTTTTAACAATATATCCTTTTAATTTGAAAAACAAAGTGATTTAATTTTTTTGAATTAAATGTTATTTTAAAATAGATTATAAGTAATAATCCTTTCTACATAAATTAGAATAATTCTCTTGAAAAACATTGTTTTTATGGATTATTTTTCCATGAGAACATTTTTAACAAGTTTTTTTTAAAGAATTTTTTTATAGAATTTTTTTATATAACTTATCATTATGAGTTTTATTTCTAAATTAAATTTTAATATTCTTAAAAATATTGTCAACAGTTAAAAATAATTTTGTATCACAATAAAAATTATTTATCATAAAACTAAAATATAATTTATGTGATAAAAAATGTTTATTTATTAAAAGATTTACTTATAATATATTTTTATATGAAACAATATTTATTTATTATAAGTTTTTGTTATATAAAATGAAAACTAATCTTGTGCTAAAATAATATTTAAACTTATGTATATGATACTTTTTATTTTCTCAAAAATATTACTCAAATGATCCAAGTGTTAATACCAATTTTTCTCATACCTATAAATTTAAAATATGAATTTGGATTTGACACACCATATCAAATTAATATTTAATTTTAAAAAAATCATTTTTATGCTGTATTTTATAAATGTATAAGAATCTCAAATTTTATTTCTATAACTTATTCTTACATAATAAAATTAAAATTCATTAACAATGAAGAATCATTCATTGTCGAAAAAAAAAACTTTGTTGGGTCAAATTTTGAATCTAAAATAGTGGATATAAACCAATATAGTTGGGCTTTGATCTCCACACATAATCACTATAAAAAAGTGCTGCAGTTTTGAGCCTAAAAGACATTTGGGCTTCCTTGTCTAAAGTTGAAGCATGCATGATGCATCATAATAGATATAAGTCCCTTTCTATATTTTTTTTCATTTTTTTTCTTCTTAAATATCTTTTTAACTTATTTACTTTTTAGAATAATTTGTTTTTAAAAATGATCTTCTTCACTCACCTTTCTTCTTCCGTTTTTTTTTTCTCACTACTCTATTTGTCTCTAACCACTCTTCTATAATATATTCTTCATTCAACCCTTCTTGTTACTTTTTTTCTTCCGCTAATTTATCTTTTTTTTTTCTTTCTTGAATTTTTCTTCACAAAAGACTCTTTAAAATGGTATAAAATATGTTATAAAGCTAAAATCCTAAACTTTAGCGTAATTCTTACGTTTAATGTGATATGTAAAATAAAAATAAAAAAATCATTGTACACAATCTCAACCATTTCCTACAACTTCTTCATCCCACTGTACCGTATATGATTTTCCATGGCCATTGCAACACTTTTCCTTCCAATTATTTCCGACCATTAGATGAGACATGTTTTCAGCCCCCCACTCATCTCACTTTTAACATTATTGCATGTTTAGTTTATCATATGTTTGGATACAAATTAAAAATATTTTTAAAAGTTTCTCTATTGAAAATAAAGAATATTTTTTTAGAAAAAAAAATCTTTTAAAATAATTTTAAACTTATATTGAAACATATTCTAAAACACTTATTTTAATATGAATGTAAAATATTTTAAAGCAATTTTTTTTTCAAACACGGACTGTATTTGCAAATTTTTTACACTTATATGCAAGCTACCATAAATAACAAGACAATTATAGGCCCTCCCTTGTACACAAAATACTACCCACCCATTTCCAGCAATACCTCACCCCATCTCCAATTCCAGTTCCAAATCCATTTCACCATTTAATAGAATGATGAGATTTGTAAGTCATCTTTAATAGTTACTAGGTTATAAACATGTATTCTTTTAACTTTTTAAAGACATTAATACAAAATCTAATTATTTTCTTTATAGCTTCATGTAAGTATATTTCTTAATAGAATTTTAAAAGTAATGATAGAGATTCTTATGAAAATATCTGCGTTGAAAACATGGAACGCAAACTGATAACACTAACACTAATCAGAACAATAGGGATATATCCATGAGGATTGAAATGTGTCCACACCACATCTATAATTATTCCGATGACATTTAGATTGTTTTATTTGAAACTTGATAGCGATGGGTTGGCTTTTGGTCAATTACTTCCTTCTTTGATCTTTCATAATTGAAGAACACCACCCAAAATTTGTGTACGTTCTCAAGCATATAATAATTCGTGTCAGATTCTGTCCCACATCTGTTCCATCCATCGTTTTTAATGTGTAATCTGATTCATTTACGTATTTCTTTGTTAATTGATCATTTTCAGATACAGGTAAAATGTTTAATAGTAATGTTGCATGTATCGGAGTTATTATTACTATTATAATTTTTGGGTAAAATAATTTGTGAAAGGTGGTGGAACATGAATGAATAATAGTGTTCCACTAGTGCAAACACTTGGATGCAAAAGGGTAGCACATGAAACTTCAGATCCTGTGCTAAGGTCTTAAGGAGGATACGTGGTTTAGTTAAAATAGAGTATGCGTGGATAATTTTTTTTCACAAGTATTTATAAGAGAAAAAAATAAAATAAATTTTTCAAGAATTAATTTAACTTGTAAAAGCTTTCTTATATTAGTTTTATCACTTAGCTTCTCCAATCATTTATTTCTATCAATTAGCTTCTCCAAAAACATTTTTATCACTTATAAATATATTATTTTTAGTTTATAAAAAAATATTTTATTTTAAAGATATTTTTTAATATGGAATTTCAAGCCTGCAGTTTTAAAGACCTAGCTACTATCAATATTTTTGTTGGTTGTGGTTATCAACTGAGCTGGAAGCTTGCTTCTTGGCCAAATGTATTGTTTATCTTCATCCCAGATTCATCACATGCAATCATGAACTTAGTAATGTAATATATAAATATAAATACACGTAGTAGGAGACATATATAAGATAGACCAGGTGAGAAAAACAAATCTTAACCTTATATTTAAATTATATATATGGTTAATCTTGAATATTCGTTTAGTATGATTAAGATTTACTCTTTCAAATATTTCACACTTTCACAATATTTATACACACACAGTTTTGTCTTCATATATATAATTGAGTAAACCTCTGGGTATGATATGTATGCTTGCTAAAACAATAATATCTCTTGGATGATTTATGCATTTTCAATCGTCAAAGTTTAAGATCCATATTGGTCACTTGGTATTTTGTCCTTAGACCACTTCCTACTTCTAGTCTTATGCAACACTGTACCTGATTTTTATGACACTATTATATATACCGGTGATTGTAATAACTTCATATGAATGCTTAGGGGACTCTAATAATTGAGAAAAAAATTAAATAAAATTAATGTCACTTAAACAATTGATTGTAGTG